ATTCGTGGCAACCTTCATTATTCTTTCTGAGTGTTGTAAACAGGCCATCTTGGGTATGGATTTCCTGCGGGAGTACGGTGCCATTATAAATATACCGGACGGTGTACTGACTTTCTCAGCGGACCATAGCGCAGCGCTGCAGCGCAAGCCCATGCGCGTGATTGACGACGTAACCATGCCACCGTTGTCATGCCGCCTCGTCTCTGTCACGTGTAACACGCAGCATAGTGGAGAAGGTGTCGCGGAACAAATATCGACGCTTTTACTCTCTCGAGGAATCGCTATTGCCAGAAGTCTCGTCAGTGTAGTGTCTGGGCAAGCAGAGGTCCTGTTGACAAACTTCAGCAACGAGCGTCGACACATTGCAGAGGGTACCACAGTTGCATACTTCGAAGAAATTGTAGAATTCTGCGAGTGCTTCGCAGTACAACAGGCAGAGATGCCGGCCGCTTCAACACCACTGCCTGTCGACGTGAGCACAGATTTATCGCCAGCGCAGAGGCAGAGTCTTCTAGATATTCTCGGCCAGTTTGAAGATTGTTTTTCGTCGACCTCGAGAGTAAATCAAACGCCACTGACAAAGCACCGAATTATAACGGAAGAGACGGCAAGACCAATTCGACAAAACTCATACCGCGTGGCACCGAAAGAACGCGAAGCAATCCAAGAACAAGTCCAGAAAATGCTCAATGATGACATCATTCAGCCGTCAAAAAGCCCTTGGGCATCACCGGTAGTGCTAGTTAAGAAGAAAGACGGCAGCTTACGCTTCTGTGTGGACTACCGCAAGCTGAACCGCGTGACAAAGAAGGACGTATACCCACTACCGCGTATTGACGATTCACTTGACAGGCTGAGGCATGCACGCTTCTTCTCGTCGATGGACCTGAAAAGCGGTTATTGGCAAATCGAGGTCGATGAGCGGGACAGAGAAAAGACTGCTTTTGTTACGCCTGACGGGCTTTACGAATTTAAAGTCTTGCCCTTCGGATTGTGCTCAGCCCCAGCAACATTTCAGAGACTGATGGATACCGTCCTATCAGGCCTTAAGTGGCAGACGTGTCTGGTATACCTCGACGACGTCATTGTTTTCTCACCAACATTCGAGGAACATCTAAGACGGCTGCTATTAGTATTTCGAGCAATACGGTCCGCTGGCTTATCGCTGAAACCTGAGAAATGTCATTTCGGTTTCAAGGAACTCCGATTCTTAGGACATGTGGTGAGCCATGAAGGTGTTCGTCCGGACCCCGACAAGATCGACGCCGTTCGAAATTTTCGGTGCCAACAGAAAAGAAGGCCGTAAGACGTTTTCTTGGCCTTTGCGCCTACTACCGCAGATTTATCGCCAATTTCTCGCACATAGCGTCGCCCTTAACACGCATAACGAGAGACGATGTTCCATTCTTATGGGGCGAAGAGGAACAAGCAGCATTTGACGGTCTACGACAGCGCCTGCAGACACCACCTGTGCTTGCTCACTTTGACGAGGACGCTCCAACCATGATCCACACTGATGCCAGCAACGTAGGTTTAGGCGCTGTACTCGTCCAATGGCAAGACTCAGCCGAGAGAGTGATTGCATATGCAAGTAGGACGCTTTCCCGTGCCGAGTCCCATTATTCCACAACGGAAAAGGAATGTCTTGCTGTAGTATGGGCAGTTCTGAAGTTTCGCCCATACCTCTACGGCCGTCCCTTCCACGTAGTCAGCGACCACCACTCTCTTTGCTGGCTGACCAACTTGAAGGACCCATCCGGTCGGCTAGCGCGCTGGAGCTTACGCCTACAAGAATTCGATATGACGGTCGTCTATAAGTCGGGACGACAGCACTCTGATGCTGATTGCTTATCCAGGTCGCCTATAAAGCAAGATGATGTCTCGGAAGATGATGACATGGCATTTTTAGGAGTGGTCGACACGGTCACCATTTCGTCTAAGCAGAAAGAAGACAGTGAGTTGCTCCCTCTTATTAATTTTCTTAACGGCCAGTCTACAAGCGTTCCCAAGATATTTGCAAGGAGCCTACCATCATTCTGCTTGCGCAGTGGTGTGCTATACAAGAAGAACTTTGCCCCCAGCGGAAATGCCCACTTACTTGTCATCCCGACATCCATTCGCGATGAGATCCTGAGCGCTTGCCACGATGAGCCAACCTCCGGCCACCTCGGATATACGCGCACATTGGCCAGAATCCAACAAAAGTACTACTGGCCGAAGCTTCCAGGCACTGTAAAGCATTACGTCCGCACGTGTCTCGATTGTCAACGACGAAAATCGCCACCTTTAAAACCAGCCGGATTGTTGCAACCAGTCCAAGTGCCCACCATGCCTTTTGCACAAATCGGAATGGATCTCCTTGGACCATTTCCGACTTCGCATACTGGAAATAAGTGGGTAATTGTCGCTACGGACTATCTTACTCGCTACGCAGAAACAAAGGCTTTATCAAGTGGAACCGCAGTAGAAGCGGCACGATTTTTCATTGAAAATATCGTTCTGAGGCATGGTGCTCCTAGAATTATAATAACAGACAGAGGTACCGCTTTCACGGCCATGCTCCTCAAGTCAGTGCTTGAGTTGAGTGGAACAGCGCATCGAAAAACTACCTCCTACCACCCACAAACCAACGGCTTAACAGAACGCCTCAACAAAACAATTGCTGATATGCTTAGTATGTACATCGACGTGGATCATAAAAATTGGGACGACGTTCTACCATACGTGACGTTTGCTTATAATACGGCGCTGCAGGAAACTACGCGGAGCACGCCATTTAGTCTTCTTTATGGCCGTGGAGTGACGACAATGCTTGATGCCATGCTGCTGCACAACTGCGAGGATACAGACACGGATGTTCAAGCCTTTACCCAACGAGCTGAAGAGGCACGGCAGCTAGCACGCGTGCGAATCGCCCGACAGCAGAGTTATGACGCACAACGTTATAACCTGCGACACCGATACGTCAATTATCAACCGGGCGAGAAGGTGTGGGTCTGGAGCCCTATTCGCCGACGCGGCCTTTGTGAAAAGTTATTGAAGAAGTACTTTGGTCCCTACATTGTTATACGGCGCCTAAGTGACGTGAATTATGAGGTCGTCCCTGACAGTTCCTCGCGAGCTCAAAAATCTGAAATCGTACACGTGGTGCGGATGAAGCCATATTACAGTGAGCCAGTTGCGTAATACGTCAACTACATACACCGCGTATTCTGTAGCCGAGCATCGGGTCGATGCTCTTCCTGGAGGGAGGCAAATGCCGCATTCAACCTGCAGAGGGGAGCTCGCACAGCCAGAGAAGAAGACGAAGCTCTTGCCCGGTCCTCTTTACGAGCGCCTTTCATTTTTAATTAAAGTGAGCTCTTCTATATCGAACTCCTGCTGTGTCTGCGTCGTGACAATATATATATACAAGCGCTAAATTTTGTGCTGCGAGCTAGTGACGATGTGAGATTACTCCTGTGCGTTGTTGAACCATTAAAAATTACGCAATGTCCATGGAATGAATGATGATAAGTGGGTGATGCTATGGGAGATCATCGGTAAGCCACAACTCTCCCGTACAAAGTTAGTCCATTACATCGTTAAGACTGTGTGTATATCATGCAAATCAACTTTTTTTGTTCTTCTTTGCTTGTTCCTTCGTTTCGTCATTTTTTCTTTTCATTTTTTTCTTGCCATGAAAGCTGGATTGTGAGGTTTCTTCATCATTACAGCTTTCTAGCCCGTGTAATAAAGCAAAAGAGGTGCTTGTACTGGCTGAATTAGAAAGTTTGCAAACACTACATCTATCGACGTCCCTCGGATAGTGGTAGGTTGCATACGGATACATCTGAGTGCGTATTCGCAAAGCATGTGCTGCACGATGTAGTCATTGGCAATGAGGTCTGTCCGTCTATCAGCCCGTCCATCTGCCTGTCTGTCAATCCATCTGTCTGGAACTCGCACTAGCGCCACCTGCTCAGTGAGCACACAACGAGGTGGTTACCAACCGGTCACAAAAGACGTGCGTGGACAGACCCACGACTTTAGGAGGTTCGCCCCTAACGATTCGCAGCGTTTGCGTTAACTAAAAGTTGACTGCAGGTCTCTATGTCCCATCAAAGTCTTCCGTCTCTCAAGGAAATACCAGCCATGGTTGCGTTCTTTGCTCCTCTCCGTCTTTCTTTCCTGCGCAATGCCACGATGAGCGCCAACGTCAACCCTGCCGGCAGTGTAAGCGCTATCGCCCACTGCTTCGCATCTACACATGGTTCCCTTCAGCGGGAAATGGCGTAATTTTTTTGCATATTTCTGTGTTAGACCTATTGTAACCAGCAATAGTTGAGAAACTTCAGGCGTTGCATATGCATTTAGACGTCGAAAATGACATATAACTGCTGGCTTCTGAGGGCTCTCACCTGACTTGCAGCCTAACTGAGCAAACAAAAGTCACCTTTCTAAACCTGGAAGCAGGCTTCAATTTCAAAGCCTGGGGAAAAATTCAACTGTTGTTTATGACAGGGGCAGAGCTCCCTCCAGTAAATATTAAACTAGCAACATCTTTTAGGCACTTCCAAATAATCGTGAATGCCTCCGTACTAATGAATTATATTGTGTTTAAGAGTTATAGCTCTTTCTTGTGCAAAGCTTTTCTTCTCTATACCGGAAAAGTTAGGCTGTAGTGCAATGTCGGATGACGGCGCTACGAGGTAGGCTCCTAAATATAAATTGTGAATTATGTCGCTTCAGTTCAAAGCAGTAATTTTTGAAACACAATTATATTCTTATTCTAGTAGTACACTTGCGATTGCGGTTGTAAGCGATACAAAAATGTTGACATCTGGTGATGTCATGATAACAGTAATATGCATTAATACAGTCGTTTCTTATTGTGCGCATCCACCTAAAACGAATATGAATATGAGACTATGGTTGCTCACTTACAACAAGCTCTGAGGTGTTAAATAACTATTTGCGAAAAATGTTATTGAATCGAATAGCAGCCGGTATGCACTCACCAACGTGAAGACTCCCACAGTAAACGCCGACCGTTGCGGGGACTGCACCATGCTCTCGAACGATGTCTTCTAGCTCTTTCTGCACACTGGAAACAATTTATACTAACCACGTCAAATTAACTCAACACACGATGTTTAAACTTAAATTGTATTTCTGCGATGATAATACATTACATTGCTGAAATAATGTGGTATAGACAAAGACAACGCCAGCTTCTGCGAATACTAGTTTACAGTATGAAACACAAAAGCAAGGTAACAGTTAGAAATCTGTGTGCGAATAACTATCCAAAATGTTAGAATTAGGACGGTACTGTTGTTTTGAAAGAGCGAATACTTTCGTCACCCGAAACGATGTGTGGTAAGTTAAATGGTACATGTGTAGACGACAAGCTGACTTCACTCTAAAACCACCATGTGGTGAGCGTGCGTTTCGCTACGCTCCAGAGTTTGTCAATCAGCTGCGTGGGCTCTATACCAAACTACAAGGTAAACGCTCTATTCCTTCATTTAAAACATTCTCGTCATCATCATCAACATCAGCCTGACTACGCCCATAGGAGGGCAAAGGCTGTTCCTGTGATCCACCAATCAAACAGGTCTTGTGCTTTCTGCTGCCACGTTACACCTGTAAACTCTTTATTATCATTGGGCCACTTAACTTTCTGTCTCCCCATTGTGCGTTTGACTTCTCTGACAATCCAGTCAGTTACCCTTAATGACCAGCGGTTATCGTCCCTACGCACTACGTGCCCAACCTATGTCCATTTCTTTTTCTTGATTTCAGCTATGATATTGGCACGTTCTGTTTCTCAAGTTTTGTGATCGCCCCAAAACACTACAGAGTTCTCAACGAGTTTTCGAGAAGCTTCCGGACTTTAGTAGATCATTTTGATAAGATCACGCCCACTCTGCAAACTGTACAGATTATCCTGGAACCTACGCCACCGCCAGCGATAACGCTAGAACATTCGATGGCAAGAGTATAAATGCCGACGCACTTCGCCGCTTGTGAGTAGTTGATCGACGGCCGACGCTCCGTTCGCTGCTATCTGTGCAAGACTGCTATTGTAATCGAACTTTCCGTTTACCAGGCACAGGTTCGCCCAAATAAACAGTTAAATCCGAACATAAATCTCCTGTCTTCGGCCACGTCATGACCCCGTGACAGCTGGTGGAGGTGCTGCTTCGTTCATGTACTGGACGCCCCCGTTAAGCTGTGAACTCAGCCCACGTCGCGGAAAAGACACCGACGCCAACCAGGAGCAGCGAACAAGCCGCCGATAGCAAGGGCTACCACCGGAGTACAGGCTTCTACAAGACAACGCGCGGAAGACTAAGGTCATGACCGTGACTGCAGCGACAATGACAACCGCAGCGTCCCAGCCCACGATGGTCCTGCATCAACCCAGGGAACCACCAATTTTCTATGGGTCATCGTTCGAAGACCTGGAGTCCTGGCTGCTTTATTAGAGACCCGGGTTCAGCTATCAAATGAAAACGTCGCCATTTTCACAGAAGAAATGACCCGCCTATTCTGTCACGCTGACCCAGACACGCCTGAGGAGAGAAAAGTTCGTTTCCTCATGCGAGCGGTCAAAGAGGAGCTCTTCGCGGGACTGATGAGAAATCCACCGAACTACCTTCGAAGAATTCGTAGCTGAAGAGACCACTATCGAAAAGACCCTGGACATGCGCACCCGACAGTATAACCGTCGCCTGACTCCAGAGTGCACTGCTGCTCAAGCCAGCAACTTCGAAGACCTGCGTGAAACGATCCGAGTGATCGTGCGGGAAGAGCTGCGCAAGCTGTTGCCTTCGGCGCAGCCTCAAGTGGATTCGATCACTGATATTTTGCGAGAAGATGTTGGGCAATCGCTTCGAATTCCTCAAGCACCGCTGCCCGAGCCGTAAGCTATGAGCTACGCCGTTGCAGTGCGCCACAACGCTCTTCCCCGTCCACGCTGAAACGCCGCCCCATCGCACTTCCTTCGACAGACGCCACCGCCACCACCACCCCACCGACGTCATACCGTTCGCCAGCGGCCCAGCGCAGTGCACCAAGGAAGACTGACGTCTGGCGCACTCCTAACCACCGCCCGCTCTGCTACCACTGCGGCGAGGCCAGGACACACATACCACCGTTTCCAGTACCGACAGATGGGACTGCGTGGCTTTGCCGTCAATGCACCGCGTCCACAGCCAGGAGAACGGCCACGTGACATTGCCGACTACCTGACAGGAACTCAATGGAGACCACGAAAACCTTCCCGTTCGCCGTCGCCCAGCCGCCGCATGTCGCCGCACTACCGGCAGTACTCTAGCTGGCCCAACGCGGGGCCGGTCTCCTAGCCCGTATCCGGGAAACTAAGAGCAGCAACCGATGGAGGTGCGGTTGCTGTGCGACGAACTACCGAAGATCCTCCGATGACGACGACGACGCTACGGAGCTTTCCGAACACAACGCCAATCTGGGCAAGCCCTGACGGCGAAAGCTCACTTACCGAAGGTGGCCTGACGACGCATCATGGAAGCAGCGGAACAAGCCGACGCAGCCGTGACCCAACGCCACGCCCTAACTGTAAAGCCCAAACTCCATAAGCGCGAAAATGCACGCGACAGCGACGAGCGACGCTATGAGCGACGAAACATGGCGTTCGCGCGACGTGTCGCGGGGTAGTTTTCGCGCGATCGCTCAGTTCTCCGGATTTGGAAACCGTCGCTCATCGCCCGGAAGTGCTGGGCTCAAGCAGCCAATAGCGAAAAACCGGAAAAGACGAAGACTACATAGGTGCACGTGACCCTGCCCGAGTCACGTATGCGCAACAAGAAATAACGCAATGTTTATTAAGCATGCGCATATAAAAAATGCTGCAAGGCAATAATAAACACTTTCCGTTCTATTACACAACAATAAATCTTAATTTTAAATTGGAAACCGCTCGCTACGCGATTTTCTTGGTGCGAGTTGACGGCCTCATGCCAGCAACAGTGGAATTCGCTCGCCGAAGCCGTCGCGTGAATGAGGTTTGCCTGCGCTAGCGACTGATCGCGCGACGCCGATCTACGTCGCGTCGCTCGTCGCTGTCGCGTGCATTTTCGCGCTTATGGAGTTTGGGCTTAATGCGAGACGGTGAACTAGCGACTTCGACGTTCTTATCGACGGCCACAGTGTGACTGCTCTCGTCGATACTGGAGCCGACTATTCCGTCATCAGTGGGTCGTTTGCCACGAAGTTAAAGAAAGTTAGGACAGCTTGGGAAGGCCCTGAAATCCGCATAGCCGGAGGTCATCTCGTAACGCCTACAGGAATATGCACAGCGCGAGTCACCATTAACGGCCGTATTTATCCTACAGACTTCGTAGTCATACAGCGTTGCTCGAGAGATGTCTTCCTTGGTATGGACTTCTTATGCCTCCATTGGGCTGTCATCAACCTAAGAACAAAGCCGATAACGTTATCCACAGAAAAAGCACTACCGCCGCGCACGACGTCAGGAAACCATCCCTTGAATGTGCTGGAAGAAGTCATAATTCTGCCTTGCTCCAGCGTCATTATTTCAGTCGGCGCTCCTAAATCACCTGACTTGGAAGGCGTTGTTGAAGGCAGTCAGCATCTGTGTGTCACCCGAAATATTTGCGTCGCAAGACGAATTGCAGAGCTGCGGGGAGGCAAAGCAACGATTATGCTCACGAATTTCAGCAATGAGTACAAACATGTAAACAAAGGAACAACGGTCGCATACATCGAAGATATTGTGGAACGCCACCAGTGCTTTCGCCTTCACCGATTCTGTGGAACCTGCTCAAAGGAACCAAGCCCCTCCAACAGCTTTCGACGTCAATTCCAGACTTCCGAACCATAAGCAAGTACAACTCAAGGCCCTGCTCCTGCAATACGAAGATTGCTTTTCATCGTATCGAAAATTCGGCAGACCTCAATCAGGAAACATCGCATCATAACCGAAGAAAATGCCAGACCACTCCGTCAGAGTTCGTACAGGGTTTCGACGCGAGAACGTGAGGCCATGAAGAGACAAGTTGATGAGATGCTGTGGGATGACATCATCCAGCCGTCCAAGACTCTATGGGCATTCCCCGTGGTGTTACTGAAGAAAAAAAATGAGACCCTACGTTTTTGCGGCATTATCGCCGCCTGAACAAAATGACAAGAAAGGACGTGTATCCTCTCCTACGAATAGACGACGCACTTGATCGGCTCCATAACACCAAGTCCTTTACATCAATGGACCTCAAGACTGGCTATTGGCAAGTCGAAGTCGACGAAAGAGACCGAGAGAAAACGGCGTTTATAACACCGGACGGCCTCTTCGAGTTTAAGGTGATGCCCTTCGGTCTTTGCTCAGCGCCTGCAACTTTTCAACGCGTTATAGATACAGTACTGGCAAGATTAAAGTGGCAGACTTGCCTTGTGTACTCGGACGATGTCGTCGTATTTTCCCTCGAGTTTTGATGAGCATCTTCGGCGTTTTGAAGCTGTACTTCAAGCTTTCAAGACGTCCGAACTCACACTGAAGCCAGAAAAGTGCAGATTTGCGTACGAGGAGCTCTTCTTTCTGGGCCACGTTATAAGCAAGTCTGGAGTTCGTCCCGATCCACGGAAAACAGCCGCCATTGCCGACTTCCCGCCCCCCACTGACAAGAAGGGGGTGCGCCGATTTCTGGGCCTGTGCGCCTATTATAGGCGGTTCGTAAAAAACTTCGCCCGCATCGCCGATCCTCTCACTAACCTTACCAAAGCCCACGTGGAGTTCAAGAGGGAAACGCCGCAAGAACACGCTTTCCAGGAGCTTAAACATCGCCTACAGACGCCTTCGTTACTTGCCCATTTGGACAAATTCGCCGAGACAGAAATACACACTGACGCAAGCAGCGTAGGTCTTGGCGCCGTTCTTGTGCAGAGCGCTCACGGACTTGAAAGCGTTATTAGTTACGCCTGCTGATCGCTATCCGAAGCAGAAGCCAATTATTCCACAACAGAAAAAGAGTGCCTCGCCATTATCTGGGCTACGTCGAAATTTCTCCTCTACCTCTAAGGCAGGCCCTTCAATGTTGTGAGCGACCA